TCAGATATGTATGCAAGGCCAAGTAAAGAAATAAACCAGTTTCTCGTACCTGCCTGCTGCCTTGTTTGCACCCACTTTTTCATTTTTTAAATTTTTTTTTTATAAATGCATACATTTGCTATATACAGGCGAGTCAAAAAAGACGAAACCCAAATGGCAGGACCAATTTTTGAATGAAGTTTTGCCTGTAGCACTTTCCAAATCTAGGATATGAAAGCCCAATCAGTGGGCTTTGTATTAACACAAGAATCATTCACATCACTCATTTGCTTTTCAAGTTACGGAATTTTGAACACAAACACCATTTTAAAGTTCTGTCCATGGATCACAAAGAAATGTTTGGTTATTTCAGCAAAATGAAAACAATTCACATGCATCCCTATGAGAATTGTTTTCGTTTTGCTTAACCCTCAAGGGGCCGGGGGGGGGCGATAGCTTCTAAAAAAAAATTTTTCGCGACCCGAGCTGTTATGACTTTTTAGCCTCGAGCTTTGCGCATCTTTTGATACCAAAAACATAAAAATCGGACCACGGGTTGGCCCGTAGAGAAAAATTTTCCGGCGCTACGCGCCGTGAAAACTGAATTTTTGCATATACGTCGTGTACACCTAGCAGAATTGCCATTCATACATATGAATAATTAATTAGACATATTTCCAAAACCCTTTGACCTATAGTCATGAAATTTCTTGGGCATGTTTAGGAAGAGTTGCTCTATGCATGTGCTGAGTTTCAAAATTTTTCGTCACTCGATGGCCGAGATCTTAGGGGGGGGCGGAATCCGCCCCCCCCCCCCCCCCCCCCCCCCCCCCCCCCCCCCCCCCCCCCCCCCCCCCCCCCCCCCCCCCCCCCCCCCCCCCCCCCCCCCCGGCTGAGAGATGGTCAAAATAACCCGGCCCCTTTAGGGTTAAAGAATACTTACTTTTTAACATTGCCCAACTGGTCTCATTTTGGTGGAAACAACAGGACAATAAAATCTTTCCTGTGATAGGTATTATAAAAAGATGGATTTTGTTATGTTTTTGTTTTTGTTTGGATACAGGTACGGCGATGGTCCAGATGGGCGAATCACTGAGGCAACTTTCTAAGTCAAGGACGCCTTCGATCTGAACTTCAGACAGAACTTCCTGGATCCCCTGGATCATCTCAAGAACAAAGATCTGAAGGAGATCAACGTGAGTTCCATCTTACAAAATCTAACATCACCCATTATCTGGTTGATTCTGATAGAATCAGGACTGTGTTGCACAGCCACGTTCGGGGAAATTCAAGCACAAATTAGGGAAAATGGAAAAGCATAAAGCCACGTCAGAATGAAGTGGCTACGGCTAATACATTAGTTGCACCTATGGAAGCAGATGAAGCCACTTCCCATGTGGGCTAGTGTTAGTCGTAGCCATGTCATTCAGACATGGCTAATGCTCACTAACAGAAGGGTTAACCAGGGTTACTGGAAATTACATTCTCATATAGCGTAATCCGGCAAACAAAATTAGAAGCCATTTTTGAGGTCGCGCCACGACTACGTGCACGCGTTCTTAAAGACGAGGCTCGCAAATGTTTTGGTCGAAGGAGTCCGGAGTGCGCGATTCACGTGAGCCTAGTGCCTCCGCATTTTTCCTGAGTTATCCTGTTCACAGACAAACCAAGGCCGATGAAAACATATACCTCACCTCATGGTGGAGGGAAAAAAAGCAGACGGGAAACCGTTTTTTTTTTACTCTGTCTAATAATGCATCATAGACCATGCATTTCATAGACAATCTCAGCTCCCATGGTATACTTAGCACAGCTGTTTAGTTTTGGTGGAAACAACAGAACAATAAAATGTTGTTTTTTATAGGTATCATTAAAAAAAAAAAAAATTGTTTTGGTTATTTTTTGGATACAGCTACGGCGATGGTTGAGATGGGAGAATCACTGAGGCAACTTTCTGAAGTCAAGGGCGCCTTCGATCTGAACGTCAGACAGAACTTCCTGGATCCCCTGGATCATCTCCAGAACAAAGATCTGAAAGAGATCAACGTGAGTTCCATCTTACAGAATCTGACAGAATTTGGTTGATTTTGATAGAAGCAGGACTGTGTTGCACAGCCACCTGCGGGGAAATTCAAGCACAAATTGTGGCCAATCTGGAAAAAATTGATAGAAGACCAATGATCGATTACTGGTTGATTTGGGTTGTAACTTATGCCTGTGTACTTTTTGTCATTCAATAAATTTGGGGTCCACTTTTTTCCTGTCCCTGTTACATCTGACATCTGTGATTTTATAATTCTGATGCACTCCTTAATGCAGTCGTCCTCCAAGAGTGATTATGAATGTGACCAGGGGAACACAGGATCTTCAAGTTTAGATGTGGAAATATTACTGTTTTTATTCCTCAGTGGCCGCATGGCAGCAAAGGGCAGCAAAGCGCAGCCAGCGCTGTAACATCTTCTTTAAATTAAACGACTTTTATAACATGGGTGTGCTCTCGTTGGTGGCTAATACAAAACTGAACTGAAGAAAACTAAACCACAGGATGTTGGCCAGTGCCTCACATTCCTGGGCAAACCACATAGGGATTATGAATAAACAGAGCTATTAAGGGGGTGATAAAACAGAGTAACTAGTGTAGAAAAGCCAGAGTCTATCTAATGAATAATTATGAGGTACATGTAGTCAGGCCTCCTGCCTGGAGTTCATTACTTTCCCAGAAACCTGGAATGTGTGGTTGACCCACCCAGGGCTAAAGGACAGATTTTCTCACAATATAAGATGTACATAAAACAATGAAGATAATGATAATTTCAATACTTGGAAAATGCATGAACATAAAACCAATTCAAAACTTGTGAAAAAGCATGCAATTCCACGTACCGACTAATGGGTTACAAAACATTAATAAAACTTTCAGAAGAAATAGGAAAAACCAAAGGTGCCAAAAAAGATAACATTGAAATATGTTTTCAAATATTTCACCGGTTACATAAGCAAATTGTTCCTCTGAGGTATCAGCATGCCTTTTGCTGTGTTTACTGTTTACGGTCTCTGTAATATAGACATGTATATTCATATCAATATAAACCATTAATTAGTATAATTACATTACGTACAGATGACTACCCCCTCCTTGAATAACCATTCCTGGCCCATTCTCATGCCGTTGGGTTGTCTCTAAACAGGCCCCAGAAACTCCAAGAAAACAAACTTGCAGAGTTGTCCTACATGTCAGCAACATTTGTGACGTGAACCTTCATAATTACGATGAGTGTTTCAATGCTGCCTGATTGACTGTCTGACCGAGTCACTGAGTATTAACTGATCGAGTCAGTCACTATTATCACTGACTGACCGAGTCACTGACCGAATCACTGACTGCGCGATGAGTCACTGACCAAGTCACTGAGTTGATGACAGCCACTGAGTCGCTCAATGAGTCACTGAGTGATTCCTTAACCGAGTCGCTGACCGAATCAATGACTGAGTCACTGACTGAATCACTGACCGAATCTGACTGAATCATGGAGTCGCTGATCGAGTCACTGAGTTGTTGACTGAGTCACTGACTGAATCTGACTGAATCATGGAGTCGCTGATCGAGTCACTGAGTTGTTGACTGAGTCACTGACTGAGTCACTGACTGAATCTGACTGAATCATGGAGTCGCTGATCGAGTCACTGAGTTGTTGACTGAGTCACTGACTGAGTCACTGACCGAATCTGACTGAATCATGGAGTCGCTGATTGAGTCACTGAGTTGTTGACTGAGTCACTGACCAAGTCACTGACTGAGTCACAGAGTCCAGCTTAACTAGGCAAGCCTACTTTGTTTATGCCATGAGAGACCAGCCTCTCTCCAGAACTGTTGTTTTCTCCTGCATAACCATCTTGCCAAAGCTAAATAGAGAAATATTCCAAGACAAATTTCCCAATGTTAAGAACAATTAAATCACTCTTAAATTAATCAACAGTATCGTTCCATTATTTTATTTTTGGAAAATCCCTTTGCAAGCAGGGGTTTTTGGAATGTACAAATTTAAACAATCTCAAGACTATAGGATAGGGACCACCTCAGGAAACTGGTACCCTGTTGTCCTTGGCCCACTTCTTCATGACACGGATGATGTATTCCACCTGCGGGTTACCGGTGTTGCGCAAGATTTGGAGGATGTCTCGCAGTGTTTCTCTGTAGAGGAAAAAAAAATGACAAAAATCAAGTGGCTTGAACTTCACTGGGTTTTGTGCACATGAAAATGAAAGCTATTAACAAGATGGACTTTGCGTCGGGGCGATGTCAATCAATATTAGGATTTGCCCTTCACCGATGTATAAACACTGTATACTCAGTGTGTTACCTCCCGAGTGAAAGTTGGAAAAATAATCACTTGGGTGGGATTCGAACCCACGACTCGACCATGGAGCTTACGGGGTTGGTTGGCTGGCTAGGCAACCAATTCTGTAAGCTTGATGTTCCAGTGGTTAAGACGTCTGCACTAACAAGCAGGAGGTCATGGGTTCGAGTCCCAACCGAGTGATTTTTTCCAAATTTCACTCGGGAGGTAACGCACTGAGTATACAGAGTTTATACGTCAGTGAAGGGCAAAACCTAATAGTGAAAATGAAAGCTGTTTTTAGAATATGGGGACAAAGAAAAATCCATAAAGATCAATGAAGTTGAACTAGAGGGCTAAGAAGTTGAAAAGTATTCATGAAAAATTGTAATAAAAAGCCGTATCCTCTCCGAGTGATCCCCGTTATTTGCCAGGTCTGCATCGTGACTTTGGGCGTGATCCCTGGCTGCATGGCATATGCGGGTTGAGGGCTTCTGACTAGCGCCCCTTTGACAGAGACATTGACAATTAGGGAACCGCCAACATTGGGCTGGATAGCTCAGTTGGTAGAGCACCGGAGTGATATGTCAGTGCACACTGTTTGATAGATGTAGTGTGGTCACCTGACCATAAGTTGATCTGATTGGTCAGTGTGCACTGCTGATTGACAGAGATGACACCCACCTTGGTTCATGGCCAGCTATGATCTGCTGGAATACGCCCACGCACGCCCCTCGCTTGCCTTCCCAGTATTCAGGATTGGGGTCCAATCTTTCCAGGACATCGAAAGCCTTGGTCGCATAGTAGAACTGGCCATCTACCGACAGAAAAGATGAGATTTGAGGATCGAGAGACCGTGACAATTATATTTTGAGGTCGAGCAAAAAAATCAGAAGTTCGAAGGAAAAGCCTGAATTTTTCAATCATCGCAACCGTGTTGACAAAGTGATGAATTTGTCCCAAATCAACATTTTAAGCAGTTTGGGATTTTTGTCTATTCTTATATTTTATGATGCCTTCTACATGCTTACTAAAGTATGCGACACAAAAGTGCATCCTTCATTATTCAAGCTAATGACACAAAGTCGTAAATGTGCAACAAATAATTTTTCTTGTTGACGGGGATTCGTATTCTCGTTAATTCTACACGTGGAAACAATGTTGCAACCTGACGCAACATTTTTCTTAACACATCATCTCAATAAAGATCAGTCATTGCAAAAATGTTTCACAAACATGAATATGGGACTGAGAAACACTTCCAATTTGGTTCAGAAATGCTTGGAAAGTTTTCTTGACTCTCCATATACTTTGTACACAACCCTGAAGTAGCGTCTGGATACTGCATTCTTTTCTACACATGCCTTATATTTAGATTTATGTCTCCTCGATTTGCGTTTTGACGAAGAGACAAATCTGTTTCATGAAATCAGTTGCAGGTTGAGATTGAGTGACTGGATACTAATTTGGGGCGAATGCCAAAATCTTTACACTAATATACAATGGACAAAAATAGGGGATGATGTTTTACCTTGTAGCCGTCGTTGGCAATGAGCTACAGCAGGCTGAACGATTCGCCAGACGTCTCCATCTTAAGGTACAACTCCCAGGCTAGTCTGGCCTTACGATTCACGATGCCTGAACAACGAAAAACAACACAAAGAAAGGTTATAAATACATAGGATACTGCTGTCAGAAAACACATTGGGGTCCACAAAAGATGGTTCGGTTCAGTGGATGCTCGTTTCAGCAATTTTCGGCCAGCAATGCTCAGTGTATTGTGTACAATATTTGGGAGCCAAGAGGGATGTTTAACGTAGCAAATTTCTGTCGTACAATCTGCTTGAAATGTGATAGAACAAATCCAACATGGCAAATGTATGACTAAAATGTGAAGTTTACATGTGTAAATGAAAAAACTTCTAAATCCGTTTACAAATTTCTCAAAACATGTAAACAAAACCAGAATTATACAAAAAGGACCTTCGTTCACGCGATCTTCCTTGGAGATAACCACACATAGCACAATCGTTGTTTTCAAACCTACTTAATGTAAAAAACCTTAGAAGCATCGTAGAACTTGATTACATTTGGGGAACACGTAGTTACATTTTTACTTTATCAACGACTGCCTGCTATTTACTATGTCAACCATTGTTGATTTATCATGTCAATCACGCCGGTCTGCAGATCAGACATAATGGGTAGGCAAAAGCCACTGTCAATGGCTAAACGTTTCAAACGGTTCTTAAAATATCTGCTTAACGTTTACAAAATGAAACGCAAAGTCACATCCTTAATATACGATCAGGGCGATGATTGCATGCTGGTTATGTCATTGTTAGAGACCCTTCAGTCTACCTCACACATGGGCAACATGTGCATCTCCCTAATGCCACTCTGGATTTTCCAGCAGTACATGAAATGCATGCACGCGACGTGTCGTGACTTTAGTTGGACATTTGGTTGTGCAGTCACAATTGTGAGTGGTCAATACATTATGAGTTGAGGCTTAACAGGTGGATTCATTCCCATCATTAGCAACTTGGAAGTTGGAAGAGGAAACGTCATTCACAATTGACGGTAATACTCACAGCATCTTGCCAACCAGAGACACGTGTAGTCATTCTTGATCTTCTCACTCTGAATGAGCACAAAAATCTGCAAAACAAGAGAAACGAAACCCACTCCAATTAAATCATGGTAAAACCAAGTGCCCCACCAAAACAGTGGTCTAGGAGGCTCAGAAAGATCCCCATCCGGGTTTTAGACTTGATTTTTCATGCCTATTTGCCCTGAACAAGGCTAAAAGCCACTCCAGATATACAGGGCTACAAGTCGGAGCAAAGCAGCTAAATCAACCACACCATCTCTGCCCTCATAGGCACCCACTTATAAGCCATCAGTGTGGGGGTTTGGTCAGTATCAAATGAGGGCAATAATGCTCATTGTGATTTTTGGCAAGGTATGCACCCCTCTAGTCGGAAAATATTTGACAGCATTGCAGCGGTGGCAGCTTTATGGGTGATATCACTTTTTTCTTTTTTAAATGGCAGCCAAAACATGCTTGTTACAACATACAATTGATCCGGTTCAAGCATATTGACGGCAATTTTGAAAACACAAATCAAAAGTGATAACACTGCCACCACTCACACTGCAAAGCTATCACACATTCTGCAACTCTAGATGTGCCTTTCAAAAAATCGCTATGAGCATTGCTCTTTTCAATCGTCTGGTACCATTGGCCCAATATTTGGACCAAAGCTGATAGCCTATTACTCCTGGGTGGGGAGAAGCAATGAGTAACAAAGTGCCTTGCCCAAGGGCACACGCACCATGACCCCAGGCTGGACTCGAACCCACAACCTGCAGCTTTACCCGCAGACCACGAATCCAACGCCCTTAACCACGAGGCTACAGCACTCCACACTCCTCTTGAATCAGGACAGATCATAGGTTGGAGGGAAATAAGCACCAGGCAAGGAATTCCAAAGAGATGCAGCACGTGGGAAAATAAGCTATTGGAATATCTTTTTGTTCTACATCTAGGTATGGCAACAGTATATGGATGAGAACAGAAAGTCGGGCTTCTCTCTCAAACAGGGCCGACCATCGGTGGAAATTGATACAAAATTCCACTTTTCTTGGAAATGACAGCACACCAGGTGCCGTGATTTCACAGGATGCTTGAGACTATTATTCCCTAACAGTCAGGTATTTCATAATAACTTGGTAGTTTTGGCGTTTGATGTTTGCAAATGAAAGGCACCATGACTAGTTCAGGCACCATGACGAGTCGCTGCGCCATGACTGGCCAACTATTGAGGGCGCAAACAACCAAAATTGGGTCCGGGAGTCCAACCTACCTCCTCTGCTTCCTTGTAGTTGCCTGCTGTGGCTTTGGCCTGCGCATAGTTGTGGTTGAACCTATCGTCGTTGTAGAAGTAACTCTAGAAACGTAAACATACAAAAATGTCATCTTAGTTTTTCTGATATTTTTCCCACCTGCACTACTTTCCCCCCCCCCAAAAAAGGACAAATACAGCTAAACCATGCCACAGATACAACTATGAGCAAGTTGGGGCGAGACTAGTGGTCGATTCCTGACGTAATTTGATGCCTGAGCACTAATGTCAACATGCAAACGCCTCTACTCAGACGATGGTCAAAATTGTTCACCAAGAATGGTCAAGAATAATTCTAAAACAAAATTGGTCCTGAATAATAGAGGGTGATTGGCAATAAATATTTTCAGGTTTTTGGAGAAAAGTTCACAAACGAATAGTGTCTAACATTAAATGCATTAGATAAAATGACCTGAGAGCAAATATGCAGTCCTATGCCCCCTGTCTGTCTGGCCTCAACTCCATTTTCAAAGCTGTTAATGAAATAAAATGAATCAATAAACATTACTGCAACTTTCCTAAAAAAATACAGCGGTGCTGTTGAAACCCCTCGGCCTGAGTTTGTTGATATAAGGTGCAAAATTACAAATACATGTAGTAGAATAGTTAATACTGGTCAATGGAATGACCTAGACCTTGACCAATGACGTTGACCTTTGACCTTTTGACCCCCAAGAAGGGCAACCCCGAAAGTTACAAACCCGAATCACATTATACTCAGCCCAAAATAAGAAAATAATTTTCTGACATACTTCTAGTTGGGTAAAGTAGAGATATATTTATTTATTTATTAAGAATTTGCTAACTTTAAATAACTTTTTTAGTGTAAACCTGGAATTTTCAAAGATTTATGCAAGTGCGCTACGTTAGGGAACACTCAGCTGATTTTTGCCCAATTTCCGGACACCACCGTTTTTTTTAAATTTTGCTCAAAATTGTATGACAGTGAAATTGTTTACAGAATTCAAATGGCAAACACTACTGAAAAAGTACCAGTAATAACTGAATGAATTCGAAGTTTATCGACAAAGAAGTTTGGCAACCGTGCATGAGGAAAGTCAGGAGAAACGTCGCAGTGCGCCACGTTAGGGAACACCACTATATGTGTGCATTGATACTGGGTTCTTAATTGGGGTAGGTGCGGTGAACTAAAAACAATAGGCCCTGGCCCTGCTGACTATATGACTATACAATCATGGAGCTATAAAAAGAGGTCTTACCCAACAATGTATGCAAAGCATTCCAAAATACTCGGGAAAGACACCCATACCTCAGACGTCACTGACCAACAAAGACTAGGAAATGTCCTTAGACATGTTTTCTCAGTAGGCATGCCATGGTAGCAACTTTTCCCTGCTATAAATCTGACATTTTTGGACATATTATCCCTTTAAATGGTGATATAGGTCACTGTAGGGAAAAATTAGTGATGTCCAGATATATGGGAATCTTTCCAGAACGCCGAAAAGAAGTTGAATTTTGAGAAATAAATAGTCCAGACTTACCTGACGTACAGGCCTATATAGCCTACCGCTGCATTATCTGCTGCATAATCTTGATCGATAACCAAACAACAGGTGGCGCTCTTTACAATTAACGGTGTCAGGTACAATCTCATTCAAGTGATGTTGAGCGGTACGCGTTGCCATGGTGATACGTCATCAGTGTGCTCTGCATCCTGTATGTGCTCCACAGTTGACATCCTTGGTAGAACCTTCAAACTCTGTCAACTTCAAGAAACAAAGGAAAACAAGTTATTTTAACATCTTAACCCTCCGACGCAGAAAGCCTATTTACTAACACGCTTACAGTAAGGGGTCCCTCCGGGGACCCAGATATTTAGCGCCTTGGTTTGAGGCTACACAACACTGTATAGATGTACACAATCTCGACATGTCTGTAGACTATAAATAAGGAGGTCATTGACAGGAAACAGATGTTGTATACATAGTCTGTGGTCAAGTCGTGCACTTGGCTACCCGCAAGTGACCTTGTTTTGTGCATCTGGGCAATTCCACGGTAACGGAAGGACGTTTTCACTCATTAAACAAAATTTCAAATGTGTGTATCACAGACACTGTTCATAGTTACAGCAAACAAATGTCACAATTGTATTGCTATAATGCTACTTTCATTTTCCACACTTTTGGGGGGCATGAATGCCTCCCGTTTATGAATTATGAATATTAATGAGGTCGGTAACGGAAGGACGGTAAAACGGACAAGGGTTTTCCAACTTACTCACATTTTGTGTAAACTCTGTGAATTTTATGGGGCAATTATATTTTAAAGGTAAGAAATGGAATCCCTGAAGCTTTATCTATACTATACCGCCTTTCATTTGACTTTAAGTGTTTCGGTAATATAATTACAACGTTTTAAGCAGATTATGATTTGGTAACGGAAGGACGGTAACGGAAGGACAAAAGGTTTACTCAATTATAGCATGAACAAAATGTGAATTTACACTAATTATACAAGTGAAACAAATTGCTGAAATGTGTAACTGAATGTGAAATCAACAATATGCAGACCTGGCATAAATAATTATACCCACGAAACCATTGAGATAAAGATAGAAGCCTGCTAATTAATGATAACAAAAGAAAAACGAAAACCACCCAAAACACATAATTCACGAACACAAGACAACTACAGAAATGGACTTCAAACCCATCACCTCAATCCTTAAAAGTTTAAATACACAGTATTTTAGCACTTGAGTATATTGGTTACATGTTCACCAACAACTTTTAATAATAATACCGGTAGGTTCAGTGGTTTACCTAAAGGGTGGGGGGGGGGGGCGACCAGCCTACATGTAAATTTAAGGTAAAAACATCTACCGGTAGAACTGATGGCTTCAGTTAGGTGTTGCTTTTAATTGAACTCTAAAATCAATGTTTGAAATCAAATTACAATGATTTAGAGTAGTAGCAATTAATTTATAAACATCCAAACTGAAATTGTTAACTTGGGCATAATTTGTCAAAGATTGCACCTCACATGTCTTACACATGTAATTGAATAAAAGTGCCCCAAAGTACCGGTACTTTCTGCCATCTCATTTTTGACTTAATTTGCTTCTGGAATGGCTTCACAGAATTTGTATCTTTCTCTATTGTCCATGAATGCTGATGGCAGCAACTTTATGATTTGATTTTCTGCAACAACTCCATACATGTACATGTACTGGTACATCGGCATATATGTACATGTACATTGTACATGTTGTACATGCCTGTGCCTTCCTTTGTAATAAACACCTTGCCCTGCTTATCCCGCTTTTGTGAAGGTGGGTCACATGAATGTCCTTTCAATGCTCATTATACATGCATGTATTTGCAGTGATTTTCATTTTTTCAAACATGAGCGCAAACGTCGTAACATTTGATAAAAATACGATTTGTCCTTCCGTTACCGTCCTTCCGTTACCAATTTGGTAACGGAAGGACGTGATTTAATTAATTGTAATTAAAAAACGAGAAGTACAGCAGTGTCAGTTATCATGTCATATTGAAGGCCTACCTAAACTTGCTTTGCACAATAACTTTCAATGCATTCATACTGCAAGTTTTAAAAATAAATTAAAAATATACATTTTTTCGGTAACGGAAGGACATTTTCGAAGGCTAAAATATTAGAAGTCACTGAAGCGAAGCAAATTACGCAAACTGTTAAAAACAAGTTTTAGTCGGTTTTTCAAGACCAATACTTTCTCATGACAGAAACTGATGGCATTAGTACATATTTTTGTGTGTGTTTTGGTAGAATACTTTCATATCACTATTAATCACATTTTTAGGATTAAAACAGGATTATTACATAGTCCTATTTTTTGGTACCGAAATGTATAAAAAATAACATTCCGACTTCAAATCTTGAAAATATAGACTTTAAGCTTTTATTTGATGCCAAATTTGTTTAAGTCACATGTATTTGTATTTTTTGGTGTCATGTCCACTTTGGTGTGGAATTGCCCATATGTATATGGGCAGCCCAGGTTGTCAGGCTCAGATATGCCTGACCCGGGGTCACACACTAAAGGTGACTGCATATATCCGTAGAGGATGTCCCTTGCTAGGATTAGATGGAAGATCACCAGAATTGGTTTGAAATGTTTTTTTTTATTAAGGTAATTAACCTAATTGGGTCCCCAAAAGGGCTAGTTTCTGCGTCGGAGTGTTAATCTTCTAATTCATAAGGTTTAGTTCAAATATTGTTTTCATCTGCTATTTTTTGGAAAGGTCATTGTTTGATGAATTTGGTGGACAATAATTACTGTGAAATTTGAGAACAATTTCCCAAATAATTGACAAATTTACAAAAGATCAAAGTGGTCAAGAGAATGGTCAAGAATAATTCTAAAAAAAATTGGTAATGAGTAACAGAGGGTAATAATGGCAATAAATATTTCACCTTTTTGGAGAAAAGTTCAAAAACGAATAGTGTCTAACATTAAATGCATTAGATAAAATGACCTGAGAGCAAATATGCAGTCCTATGCCTTCTGTCTGTCTGGCCTCAACTCCATTTTCAAAGCTGTTAATGAAATAAAATTAGTCAATAAACATTCACTGCAACAGATACAGCGGTGCTGTTGAAACCCCTCGGCCTGAGTTTGTTGGTAAGGTGTGAAATTACAAGTACATGTAGTAGGATAGTTACTGGTCAATGGAATGACCTAGACCTTGACCAATGACGTTGACCTTTGACATTTTTTCGATCGATGATTTTCAGTTCGCTCACTGTGTTTTGATGGACGTTCATGACGTTTTTGTACTTAGTGTTTTGTGCTGCAAACAATTTTGCGGGGTTTTGTGTCTATGAGGCTCCGCCCCGCGGAGCATCATGATATAGTTCTTCTAGGAGTATGACCATACTTCCTGAACTTAGTTTAAAACCCTTACACTTACAGTTCTGGAAGACTTACTATACAATCATGGAGCTATAAAAAGAAAGTCTCACAATGTATGCAATTTAAGCATAATAACCCCCTAGGCCCTTTTTGCTTAGAACCATCCTCAATCCTCCAAAATTTTGCAACTCCACCTAAATTTTTCAAAATTGTTAGACAGTCCTGCCTCAAAATGCATTCATCATCAATCCTCCAAAATCCTCCTCATCCAAAAATTTTTCACTCGTGTTTAAATGAAGGATAACCAACGTCAAATCCTTCAAAATCATCAGACAGTCCTGCCTCAAAATGCATTCATCCTCAATCCTCCAAAATCCTCTTGTGCTTCATTCACCATTCATCCTCAATCCTCCAGAATCCTCATGTGCTTCAATCACCATTCATCCTCAATCCTCCAGAATCCTCATGTGATTCAATCACCATTCATCCTCAATCCTCCAGAATCCTTCTATGCTTCAATCACCATTCATCCTCAATCCTCCAGAATCCTCATTTGATTCAATCACCATTCGTCCTCAATCCTCTAGAATCCTCCAAAACCGCCAGGAGGATTTTGGAGGAGTGAGGTGGGTAAGGGTTAAAAAATACTCCGGAAAGATTCCATACCTGGAGTTCTGGACATTTAGTGAAATGTCCTTGGTGTTTTTTTCAGACAGTAGGATGCTGGCAGTGCCAGTAAGCATGTAGGATGGAACGCCGTATTATCGCGATACTTATCACGTTTCTTGTTTGGAATAGAGATTGCTTGCTAACCTTCCCGAATTGTCCTGTCTCTTAGGTTGTATAACTCTTCCTTTTCAAATGCCTGTGAAAATAGACATGCTCGGAATGTGCGAATGGAGGTGGACTCCCCATTATCGCGGTATGTGGGAATTGTGGTTTTTATAATAATCTCAACTCTTTTTTTTCATAGTGAATGTTTTACCAAAACATCCCCTGAATAAAGTCTGATATTTTCCCTGTAACGTTCAAGTTGATTACACTTTGAAAGACTATATCCCTGCAGGATGATTTCTTAAAACCCTGCCATTCCCCGAAAGGAGAAGAAAAATCACTGTGACAAGTCTACTGATTGGCGATTGGGTGCCATTCACTTTACACGGTGTGCCGTTTTATTTTTTCTTACGCGCTGTCCTTATTTTGATCCCGTAAAAGTTTTTATGATTTCGCGGTGGAAATATCCTCCTTTGACTTCATTTTGTGTTTGCAGCTGTAGAAGGAGAACCAGACAATGGAACTATCATGGACAGAGCACCATTAATGATTTATGTTAAAATATAGACGGTACCTTTTAGTTTTCGAAGTGGCTATCGTTACGGCATTCGTTGTTTAGCGCCCTCTACGATACTTTTTTGATACGCACGCAGGTATATAATTATTTGTTTCCCCACGTGCAGGTGAGCAGTGCGACAGCTCAGTCGATAGACTGTAGGATTTTGCACCGCGAGGTTGCGGGTTCGGATCTCAGTTTTGCACTCGAATTTTTTTCCTTTTCTAACCTGAGGCTTTGGAGGATTTTTTTTAAAAGGGAAATAAAGTCCGAATTTTATAACGTTCAAATTCACTTTTGTCCTTCTTATTTTATATTTTCTTGTCATGTTTTTATAAAAGTTGCAGTCTACCGTAACGATAGAAAATGGGAGGTGCATTACGGCTGCCGTAACAATAGCCACTGCGTTTAGTTTTAACAGACACGGTGACGGGTGAGGGAAAATTTGCAGGTTTTGGAAAATGTGAATATTTATTAAAAATCGTTAAAAGTCCCAAAAAACACAACATTTTTTAATCGTCCTTTTTTAATACGACTCGGCAGTAAGTCCTTATGGCCTGGAGGACCTGGATAAAAATTGCCACTTAAAGGAGTTTAGTCAACACAAAAGGAGAAATTTTCCATGCCGCGATAAAGGGATGCCGCGATAAAGGGATGCCGCGATAAGGGACTCCGACTATAGTTTTTAGGTAACAAATTTCCCTGCTAAATCCAATATTTTTGGACATTTTAAACCGGAATTGTGGCATAAATCACTAAAGGGAGAAATGAGTAATGTCCAGATATGGGAATCTTTCCAGTACGCCGAAAGGAAGTTGAATTTTGACAAGTAAATAGTCCAGGCTTACCTGACAAAACATGCTTGGTGTACAGGCCTAGCCTACCGCCACATACATTATCGGGAAAACCAAACAACAGGTGGCGCTCTTCACAATTAACGGTGTCAAATACAATCTCGTTTACGTAGTGTTGAGCGGTACGCACTGACAGGTACTTAATACAGGAAAGAAAGTTACGACATAAAGTTAACCCTGGGGACAGGGTTGCGAAAAAGTTTCGAAGTCCGAATTTTCCCATCATGCATTGAGAAATGTCAATTCCTTTCTCGGTTATTCGTTTTCCGTTTTGCTTTCGAGTCGAGAAATGGGAATCGTTATTCGTTATCCGTTTAACTGTCGAATAGGAAAGTGGGAATCGTTATTCGTTTTCCGTTTGGTTGTCGAATAGGGAAATGGGAATCGTTATTCGTTACCCGTTTTGCTGTCCAGTGTCGAGAATGGATTTTGGACTCGAAGTCCGTTATCTGTTTTTCTTTTTGCTTAGGAAATGGGAATTGGTTTCGTTATCCGTTTTTCTTTTTGCTTAGGAATTGGGGAAGTGGGTTTCGTTATCCGTTTTTCTTTTTTGCTTAGGAATTGGGAAATGGTTTCGTTATCCGTTTTTATTTTTGTTCAGTCACTTGACACCTGTTGTTTGATGATATCCCATTATTGTCCGACTACACATGCATGGACTATAGCGCATGCAGACAACAACTCGATTTAAACCTGATAACGTTAGTCACGTCAAACTCTAGACTTTTTATTCACACTAATTAGGCCTAGTCAATTAGTAGGCAGAGCATTTGAAGAGTACATTTGCAAAAGCAGATAAGAGCCAATTTTACAAAATTGGAGAAAACCCACCATTCACCAACTAAATATTTTCCCTGAACACCTACCGTATAAATGTCATGATAAAGAGTGGGTGATTTGTCTTTTTTATGTGAACAATTTGAGAGAAAGATTTTTTTTTTAATTATTATTTTAGTAGAGTATTAATTTCTTTAGTAAATATAGATGCTAAGCTTTAAGGGGAAACATTTTGTCCCGCCTTTCATACAGGGTGAGCAGAGTACACATTGGATGGAGCTTCTGACAGACTCTCAGGAGAAATGGGTGGATGTTCAGAAGATCAAGGCATTCCCAGCCATGGTAGCAAGCCCTACGCTATGGCACTCATGCAGGTAGGCTTATGAGGGGGATCAGGGTCAGACCTGAGTATGCGTGGATAGCTCAAGTTTTCTGCATTTTGATGAGTTGTGTACCTTTTGACAACTACATGCGTTTCAGACTAGCATTCAGAGAAGTGCCGAACTAAATTATTCCAAAGAGTTGAATTAAGTTTGACGTTTGAAATATTGAGGAGCAACTACACATGAAAGTCGTCCAAAGATTGAGTGTTGCAGTCGTTCAGAATGACTCCAGTGTCTAATCAATGGAAAATGAATACAAGAACTTTGCCTGTGTTTGAAACTTGAATCTATTTAAGTTGAGTTTAGTTGAGTTAAGTTAGGGACTCTGGAACACCAGTTTTAAATGGATTGAGGTACTGTTTGATAACTTTGGTCTTTTAAGTCGAGTCTGCTTGATGAGTGAAGCAGTCTGCGATAAGTCGAGTATGAGTTGAGCATTTTTTTTGACAAGTAGACTACTTTTTACTGAGTACTACTTTATGAGTCGATTCATTTTGTTTTCAATGAATCCTGAGGTTTTGTATTAGTTGAGTAACTTTTTAAAAGGCTTGTGTACCTCTGGTGAATTATTTTAATGAATATTTCGATGAGTATTTTGAGTACCGAAATGTGTACTTACAGTTGAGTACTTGAAGAAGACTTTGCGGAATGAATTTTGATGAACAGTTTGAGTAAAATGCAAGCAGGTCTTTAAAAAATTAAGTCAAAGTGGCAAAATGTATAACAAGATCATCAAACAAGATTTGTCCAGGTTTTTTGCTTTTTGCAGCGCTAACGTTGGTCTTTTCCAAGACCTGGACACAATTTATTTAGAGCAAATGCATTCAAATTTTCCTTCCTGATTGGTTTCCGTCTAGATTGGTGGGTTGGGTAAGATCAAGACCAACACAATCATCAAGGAGCTCTCAAAAGCCTGGATGCTGGATGAGGAAGCAGCCTGGAGACCAAAAGTTTCCTTGGAAGATCAGCAAGGAAGAAGTCACCATGCTCAAAGAGAAGGTAGAATCAGGTAGTTGGTCAGTAGTGCAGAATGATTCACATGTTTACTAATGCATGCAAAATAGAGAAAAAAAGTAAAAGTTTAACGAGTATCATCCTACCCTATATTTTTAGGCTATAGAAATGTCAAACCCCCAAAACAGATTTTTACCTACCCTACCACACAGTTGTTTTTTATATCTAATAGAAAACACCACACTTTTTGTTCTTGGTTGGCCTTATTATTTTAATGTATGTTTCAGTGTCCAATTCATTTCATGGAGCCTTTCAGAGATCTCTCAGGTTATTCTGGATGGCTGCATGTCTAAGGAAACACATGCTTTATGTCAGAGGGAAATAATGCTCTGCATAATTTTTATTTGTGATCACCCCCCCACCTCCGCCCCCCCCCCACCTCCCACCACCCCCCCCACCTCCCCCCTCCCCCCACCTCTGCCCCCCACCTCCCCCCCCCCTCCCCAGGCGTGACCCTACTCATCCCTCACCTCATCTCCATGAAATCCAACTGGGAGAAATGCAAGCTGCGCGTCTTTGCCACCACGGGCAAGAAGGAGCAAATGGACAGGGAGAAGATGAACATGGCCAACATGCTCAGCAAGTTCCGCATCAACTGCTCGGACGTGGAGGTCATCCCGGACCTGAACAAGAAGCCCAAGGAGTAGAGCCTGAGACGGTTCAAGGAGCTGTCCAAACCCTGGATGCTGAATGAGGAAGCAGGGGAGACCACGGAGAAGTTTCCTTGGAAGATCAGCAAGGAAGAAGTCACTACGCTCAACGAGAAGGTAGAATCTCCTTCTTGCGCTCAAGCACCCCCCCCCTCCACTGAGAAAACTATCAACGAGGGCCATTTGGGCGCCATCGTGGCTTATAAATGCTGGTACCAAATACACGATAACCAGCATGAGTGAACCAGTGAAGTGTCCCTCATTCCGGCTTCTGCTAGTTTGACTATAAAGCGCCCTCTTTTGTCCATGCATGGAGACAATACACTTAAAGCTTTACCAGTATCCACTTTACGCTTAGTCCCTGGTTTGTGTGATTTTAAGTCCAGTCTTGCAACATCTGTTAATTGTGTCCAACCTTTGACATTCTGGTGGGTGATTTTCAATAGTGAGATTGATCACTTTCAATCCATTTTCCATACAACTCTCAGTTCATTTGATTTGCCAAGTGCATGGAACTCGACTCTAGTAAACATCAATAAATCACGACATTTTTTCGCCTGAAATCTTTTTCTTTCAGACCAACAGACAGATGCAGATCCGTGAATTGCTTCGCCAACATTCCCAGGAGGCTCAGCTCATTGTCATGTAAGTACAAACCGGCGATAATGGCCACTATCGGACAATTAACCTATCACGGTGGAATTGCGTCAACGCAGCTTGTAAAATATTGTCTAAACATGATATACAAATGGACGCAGAACGCCAAAATCTGAGACAACCAAAAGTTAACGTACCAAATTCCATGAGCCGTTTCGCGGATACCGCCATCTTTGAAATGGGGGGGGGGGGCATTACATTGAAAAGTCATCCCATCATTCTCAGCTACAGTTGCATGATGAGACGTATTTTCATTGTTATGCCTCCCCCCCTCGAAAAAAATAATTCAAAGATGGCGGTATCCGCGAAACGGCTTATAGAGTTGTCTAAGGGGCGTGGTTAACTCGCAAACGGTGGTAGGTCAATGGGTGGCGCTTTTCATGGCGGCACAATTGCTGACGTTCACACGAAATACCAAAAATTCTTTACAAGCCGCTGGCGAAACAAGAAACTTTTAAACAAAACTAAGGACACTTGTGTAAAAACTAAAAAGTTACTTGTGTAAAAAGGGCACTCTTTACAGAATTAATACTCGCGGGGGGGGGGGGGGTTAACCGCTGGTGCAAAAAATGGGGGCGGGGTGAGCAATAGATCTAACAGTGCTTGTGACCCAGTCTGACTGAGCAACTGTTGTCACCTGATCAAAAGTGGTGATCTGATTGGCCAATGTGCACTGTTGATTGACATGCAGGAAGGGTCCATTATAACCTTTTCTTTGATTTCTTGCAGGAGTCTACCTATTCCCAGGAAGCGTACTTGTTCAGCTTACATGTGCATGTGCTGGCTGGAGACATTATCCAAGGATATGCTGTCAGCAGGGATGCCAAATATGGCATCCAAATAAAAGTCAATACAAAGAAATTCACTTGAAATGATAAAGTGACAAAGGACAATTCCAACCAGTTGAAAGACCCTCCTCACTTGAATGGAATTTGTACTTTGTTTTGATTGATTTCGTTGAGATTGTTTGTTTACCATCTAACGGGCTCACACTTTCACTGATGTTTTCAAAGTGAGTTTCTTGAATGCAATCAAGTAATACTGATTAAGAACAATGAAAGTCTTCAAATAATTTGGAGTCTGTTAATCAAGAAACACTTGTCGCATTTTTACGGGCTTTAAAAACAACAGCCAATCCCACATTTTTCATTACTGTGGGCACGTTTCTGTTTCAACTGAAATTAATTAAAATCATGTTGTTTTTTTCATAACGAAGCCAATCGAAAAAAAGAGAGTATTTATCAACAATGGTGGTGCTTTTGGTAATCCTCAGAATGAGGTTTTATGCATACTGTTTTCATAGCCAGTCAATTGTACTACTTTTACATAATTCTCACATATTGTAACGTTTAAAATAATGCAATCATTTCATAAAATCCAGTGTGTTCTAATTGCTGTGAATAGCATTAGAATATTTCAAACAATTGTTAATCCAAATGCCAAGCTTAAAGTCTATAAGAAAATCAGATTTAATCACTCGAGACTTTTTTCGTGACATGAAATAAAAATTGATACATACACGGGATTGATTTAATTGACATCATCTGTGCTGGGCATACAGGGAACATAAGGCGAAGAAAATAACATGTTATAGTA